CCTATTTACACACTATCGGAGGAAAGTCGAAGTCAAATGTCTAGAGGTTGACTTTTGACTTAAGAAAAATTAGGAAAATTCCCCATGATGAATAAATAGTATTTGTATCTAGAGACAGATTCTCAGAGTCATGGACTATTAGAAAGAATTCGGTCAAATTTACTCTGAAATAAATATTATTAATTGTTTTAATGAAAGAATAAGGAAAGAGCATCACTTCCCCTTTAGGCATGTTATATAATGCCATGTGGACTTATCTGAGGTGAGAAAATGGTGCCATAACATGTCCTAGTATTCCCGGGATAGTCAGGACCTCAAAAACTACCCAATACGGTGTAGAATGGCAAGATAGGTGGAGGAATGCCTAAGGGCTATATTTTACACGAATTTTATATTAATTTTCTCCCTATTTTAATGTTAAAATGATGAAGGGATATGGAAGAGACAAGTGTATGATTAGATGAAAGACAAGTGTACGATTGGATGAAAAATACTTGCACAGTTGGATGCAAGACATGTGTATGATCAGATGCAAGACACGTGTACGGTTGTATGCAAGACATGTGGTTTGATAATGTAAGCATGATTTCATCAAAGGTGATGTAAGCATGACATCATAGGGACACTTATCATTGCAAGACAACAAGAAAAAATGGACGGTCAAGATTAAGCCACATATTTTCAAGATCAATGGCTAGGATTTGTTCTTAAATTTTATAAATATCCCCTCCCCTCCCCTCCCTCATTTCGTCCAGGCTCGAGAAAACCATGGGAAAACTCTTACAAAATGAATTCTAGAGAGAGAAAGAAGAAGGAGAGAGAAAGGCTAACTGATCCTATGCAAGATTAAGCTCTAAAACAAGGTATATTCATGGTTTTTGATGTAGTTTTCACTACTCTTGTTGTTGTTGACCTTGGTTATGGATTTTAATAGTTTTTGGGAGCTTAAAACCCTAAGAGGACATGCTGCACGAAATTGTTAAGTGTGAGGGGAGATGAAATTGATGTTAGATTAATGTTTAAAGGCTTGAAAGGAACAAGAATCAAGTGGTTCTAGCTTTGTATTAATTGAATTCCATGACTTTTGGAACCAAAGTGGATGCCACGACTTGACTGGTTTTTGAGCCTACGATGTGATTTTGTTGATTCTAAGGCTTCTAATGGATTTAGAATAGAAAATTATGTAGGAACAAGATGAAAGAATGAAGTTGGAAGCATTGAAATCAAAAATAGAATTTAAGTGACAGATTTCAGTTTTGGTCTAGAATCAAGTAGAGGAGTATGATTTTGATAAATCTATGCTCATATTTGAATTCCTTGGGTAGAATTGTGTAGGATTGGCCTAAGGGAATAATTTTTACAAAGCTAGAATACTACATTATAAATTAAGAAAAAGATATTAAGTTTAAGGGTATAAGTCTTCCACATTGTGTAATTCTTGTTCTTAGTGAGTAATGTGACCCTTGTGGCTGTAATTAGGACCTTGAGACATTTAAGAGAAGGTTTGGATGTGGTTGACTAAAAGCTAGATGGTTGGAAAGCTTAGGAAGAAAGTTGAAGAACAAGAGAAAACTTATGGTGCAAGGTGAACTAACCCCTTTATGTGCTTGATGTGGTATGCTTCTGTGTTAGTTTGTATATGTTGACTATATGATGTTGTGACATGATGATTGTTGCTAGAAATGCTGTTATTAATATGTTTTCATGGCCATGCATTTTTATACCAAGATGATGGCATGTCATTAATTAACCTAAGTTTATGGAAAATTACATACCATACATTAGCATCCATCTTCCATACGTATGTGGTAATGTTTGCTACCAAGATTCTCCCAAATCCCACTCTCTCTTAACCAACCATAATAGGTGATAATAATTAAGCAAAGGATGCATGAAGTGGAAGCAAGGAAAGAAGAAAAGAATTGAAGAAAGTTATCATATTAAATTGTATAATTTGTATGTTCATGTATGATATCAACATGCCATTAATGTTATATGATGTTAAATCATGATGATGACATGTATAATTGATTATGATAATGTATGAGAATAGTTTACAGATTGATGGAATGTTTATACAAGGAAAGAATTAATCATGAATTATTAATGTAAGTTAGGGAGATAAAACATCCCTAAAGGAGCCACGAAATAGAGACAGAGTGAAAGTAAAGCAAGTGTGACAACTCCACGAAATAGATAAAACATCCCTAAAGGAGCCACGAAGGAGATAATCTCTTGCCCTTCTCCTTGGAGAGTCCAACTCCTAAATTGTTGATATTTTAGAGATAAAAAAGAGTGAGATTTTAAAGAAATCCCAGTAGCAAGAACCACAATAATCATGCTAAACATGTAATGCGAGAATGCCATATGTTACTACTAAATATGATGCACACAAACATGCTCTTATGTCATGGAAAGGGAGCAAGTAAACATAGCATTTGTCATGTCCTACAAAATTTAACCCTTTTAGTGGGAATAAAAAATTAAGTCAAGGGCCAATAGGAAAAGTAGATTGGCTGACGAAGTCATGCATGACATAAAATCCAGATAGAGTCTGGATTGATATTTTTGAAATTATCGGTCCAAGAAGGGCAAAATAGAAAAATTTTAGAAAATTTTTAGAAAATTTTCAAAAAATAGTAAAAAAGTAAATTAGAGATTTTAGAATCTTATTTGAGGCCTTGGAGGTGGAATAGCATGAGAATAACTTATTACAAAATTTTTTTTTTGAATTGAAAAGTGACAGCAATACAGAACCAACAAATTAAAACAGAAACAAGTAAACTCTCATCATCCTCCTTCCCTACTTAAAAAGGGTGGGGGTGATTGAAAACACAAAACGGGGTGTCCAAACTATGAGCAGCTTTAGCTAGGAGGTCCGCACTAGAGAGGTCTTCCCTGTAGATGAAGAACGGCAAGACTTGCCAATCTCTATTCAGAAGTAGTCGTGCATCATTCATAATGTCATAAAAAGGGTGATCCGCATTGCAACCGCGTGAAACCAAATTTATTGCTTCAATACAGTCTGAGTAAAGCACAACTCGCCTAAATCCTTTTGACCAGCTAATTTGTAATCCCTGCATAATGGCTAGTGTTTCTGCAATGGCTGAGGGTACTGTTGTGAGCTTACAACTGAAGCCGCAGATCCATCCGCCTTTTTCATCCTTTAAAATTCCTCCGCATCCACTACGTCCATCCCGTAGAACTGACCCATCCACTTCTAGAGTGACATAGTGTCCCTGTAACGGTTGATGTTCTTTACCTCTACTACTATCCTGTTTATAGAAAGAGCAGTTGGCTATCATATCTTGGTCACAGGAAGCTTTAAAGAAACTTGGGAGAGCACTAGGTTCTTCATTAGTAATATTTGGATCAAAAAGTTTGTTGCATCTTGTGACCCAAATATCCCAACAAGTGTAAGCGAAAAGAGATGCCTAGGTGAGTTTCTTTGTAAAAGCCTTGCCCGCTTCCTTGTGAAGATTCCATTTGATCCAGTCTGCTCCTTGAAGGGAGTTAAACTGAGTCCAGAACAATGGGTCAAGGACTGATCTCCATCTGTTAATGGCATTCCTGCATTCACGAATCAAGTGCATATCGTCTTCCAAATCCTCACAGCCAAAAGGGCAGTTTGTTGTCACCTCCAAACCCCTCCGTAGCCTGAGTTTTGTTGTATGAGCTCGTCCATGTGAGAAAAGCCACAGGAAAGATTTGACCTTTTCTGGTACTTGTAATTGCCAAATTTTTTTCCAAATATTGTCCGCTTGGTTTTGGGTACCTGCAAGGAGAAACTTATAAGCAGAATTAACTGTAAAACGACCATCAGTGGATGGTCTCCAAATATATTTGTCCTCTCCTCTCTCCTCACGGGGTGGGTGTGTACACAGGATACGGTCAACATGTGCCTGGGGAAGGACTGCCGCTAGCTTGTTACTATTCCATTGTCCTCTAACATCCACATAATCAGCAACTACCTCTGTTAAGTTCACCAAGTGCTCAAGACCAGGGATTAAATCGATGAGTGGAATATTAATCACTGACCAATTGTCAAACCAAAAGGAAGTGGAATTGCCATTACCCACTTTTTTCCCCAAACCTTTAATGAAATCTTTCCAAACCTCGCTCACACCTTTCCAAGTAAGGGAAGCGTCGGATTTCTTCCTTACATGAGGCCGTGGGCCATGTCCTGTGTCATACTTCGTCTTTAGGACCTTGACTCAGAGAGCATCTTTATCACAAACCAGTTTCCAACATAGCTTCATCATAAAAGCTTCATTCTGCTTTCTCAAATTTTTGATTCCCAATCCTCCCATTTTCCTGTCTTCTGTAATTTTTTGCCAAGAAATCAAGTGAAGTTTCCTGTTCCCATCATACTCCCCCCACAGAAAGTTTCTACTAGTCTTCTCCAGCTCATTAATTAGTCGCTTGGGGATTAAAGAAGTCTGCATCTGGTAGGAGGGAATTGCAGATAGCACTGCCTTGATCAACGTAGCTTGACCAGCCATACTTAAACAGCTTCTTTTCCATCCAGCAAGTCTCCTGTGAGTTTTCTCTAGCAGAGGAGCAAACAAAACATAGGACGCCCTTTTGTGGATTAAGGGCACCCCTAGGTACTTGCCCAAATCTCCAGTTAGACCCACTCCCATCTTTTGGCTCATTTCCCAAGCTCTAGAAAAGTGGACATTTTTTGAAAAGCACATCTTGGTTTTAGCTCTGTTCACCTTCTGTCCTGAAGCAGCACAAAATCTGTCTAAACATTCAAGCATCACATCCACTTGCCAAATTGATGCTTCCCCAAATAGAATTAGATCGTCAGCAAAGAATAAATGGGAAAGTTGTGGGCCTTGGTGGTGAAGTTTAATCGGATCCCATTTACCCTCCCTCATTGCATCCTTAATGATATGGTTAAGCCTTTCCATACACAAGGTAAATATATAGGGAGAGATGGGGTCGCCTTGTCTAATACCTCTTGAGGGTTTAAACTGCTCTGAAGGTTCACCATTCTAAAGTACTTGGAACGAGGCCGTCGAGATACACATCATGATCAAGTTCCTCATCTTATCATCCATCCCTACTGCTTTAAGCGTATCATTGATGAAATCCCACTCTAATCTGTCATAGGCTTTTTCTAAATCAACTTTGACTGCTAGCCATCCTGTACCTCCTTTTTTCCTCTTCATAGAGTGGATAACTTCTTGAGTAATTATTATATTGTCACTACTTTGTCTTCCCGCAATAAAGCTACATTGGTGACGCCCTACTATTTTCCCCATGATACTCTTGAGCCTTCCGCTAATAATCTTTGTGATTACTTTATAACTCACATTGCACAAGGAAATGGGTCTAAAGTCCTTCATAGTCGTCGGCTTATCCACCTTCGGTATGAGAACCAAGTTGGTGTTATTGAGTTCGTTGATTTTAGAAGGATCTCTGAAAATGTCCTTCACCAAACTACATAAAGAAACACCAATAATATTCCAATACTCGTGGTAAAAGAAAGCTTGGATGCCATCTGGGCCAGGGGCTTTGAAGGCTCCCATATCAAACAAAGCCTCTTTAATTTCAATATCCTCCACCTCTTGAGCTAGCATTTGTTGATTAATCTCACCCAGGGTAGGAAAGGTGTTTATCGTTTCCAGTAATACCCTGTCAGTTAAATTGCTATGAAACAGATTTCGGTAATAGGAACTGGCCATACTTTTCAGCTTAGACTGATCAAAAACCCACTCTCCCTGCGTATTTTGAAGGCCTTCTATTCTGTTTCTCTTTCTTCTGATGATAGCTGAAGTGTGGAAGAAACTACTGTTCTTGTCCCCCCATTTTAGCCAGTTGCTTCTAGATTTCTGAAACCACATCAACTCCTCTTGCGCAAGCACTTTATTGTATTCCCTCCATAACTCTCCTTCAATTTGAGCGAGGTATTGACTATCTCTATTGCTTCGTGCTCTTTCCACTCCTTCTATCCGTTTCAATAGCCCTTTCTTCTTTTTGGGAATACTTCCAAGTTTTTCTAAATTCCACTGTTTAGCATTGGTAGTAAAGAGACTCACTTTTTCACACCAATCTCCCCTCTCCCAAGCTGTTTTAACCACATCTAAGAAGTCCGTTTCTAAGACCCAAGCTGCTTGGCATTTAAAAGGAGGATTGAAACGGTGTCCCATTCCCTCAGGCCTACATTTAATGAAAAGAGGCCTATGGTCAAACCCAAACTTTGGCAAGTGATGGACTTTAGCAAGAGGAAACGCATTACACCATTGAGCATTTGAAAAAGCCCAGTCTATTCTTTCCTTTATCACATTCCTTTCCCATGTGTACTTGTCCCCCACACTATCCATTTCTATCAGCTGAGATTCTCTAATGCAATCTCCAAATTGATTCATGGACGTGATATTTGGTTGAGAGCCTCCCACTTTATCTTCTTTAGATAAGTAAGCATTGAAATCTCCTACCACAAGCCAGGAATTTGTTGTGATTTTGCTAAAATCAATAAGATCTTCCCACAGTCTCTTCCTTAGAGTACAACACGGCTCCGCATAAACACAAGACAAAATTTTCTATAAACAAAAATTTTTCAACAAAAACAATGAAAAATTAGTTAGAAATAATTATTTTAAATATGTAGAGGGCTCAATAATTCTAAGAGAAATATGAGAAAATCATTTAAGGATTTATCAGATTTTATAAAATTGTTTCCCGGCCATAGAAGTGTACGAATTAATTTTAGAATATTTATTACGGAAATCTTATCGGTAAAGCCTGATTTCGGAGAAAATTCAAAATAAATAGTTAGAGGTTGAGATAAATTCTAAAAAAATTCAAGGGACTTTTCTATATTAAAAGGAAATTTTTGATGGAGAGAAATGAATTTTTAGAGTTTTGGTTAGACCTATTTTTAGAAATAGTAACCAATGTAGTCAGTTTTGGTTAGAAATTGATAATTTGTGATTGTGCCACACTTCCCTCCCCTTTCTAATCACTTTTAGACTTCATCTGAGCCAAGGAAGCCCACCAAATTCATGCAGTCCATGGTCCTTCTTGTTAAGAAGGTTCATGTCACACCTTACTTTTAGAACATATTTTATCTGAATTGGAACAATTTAGAATCATTTCTTATGGCCTTACGTTAGAAAAATTCAAACTTTAAAATTTCATAAATTTGGGTTACTATTTATTATAACCCTTACCAAGGCCAAACTTTGAAAAATCATAACTAATTATAGAAAAATCAAAATAAGGTGATTCTAAGTTCTATGTAGAGCTCTTAATATGATCTTTAGAGGAAAAATATTCAGTGGTGTCCAGACTTTACCAATTAATCTCATATTTCATACAAAGTGGTACTGTTGATATGGTTATTTTTTAATTTGTCAGAATTTATGCCTAACTTTAGATAGGCATAACTTTTTGCACAAAACTCCAAATTTAATAAAATACCACTTGTTTTAAAGCTCAAAACATGATCTATAAGCTTACCAAATTTTAGGCCAAATCTCATCCAATTGTGTAGAATTTTATTGGTGCCAAAATGAGATTTTTTAGGGTTATTTTATTCCGTTTTCTTACATTCTCTTAGTTATTCTCCTCTTCTAACCTCATATGACTATTCCATACACATACTACATGCTTAGACATGATTCCATATTCCAATATTCACAAGCATGTCACTTTGGTCATTATTACAAATATCCAACATAATTCACAATAATTCATAATAATTCATACAAAATTACAAAATGTTCATAAAGAGGCATGAAACTTAATTACCTTCCAAGATGATCCCCTTTCCTTTGTCCTTGCTCAGCCAAACTCCTAGTTGGTGAATATTTGAACATAAAGGAATAAGATTTCATAGAAAATCTCAGTAGCAATGAATCATAATTATCATGTTAATCATACTATGTAAAAATATGCTATGTTATCATGAAACTAACATTGGCATGCAACATTTCATGTGCATATCATTGCCATGGAAAGAAAGCAACCAATCAAGCCATTAAACCATTTCATATTATATTTTGCCAAGGCATATTTGACATAGAATTCCACACATAATCACATAATTTGCTCAATCATATCATGGCAATATAAATCAAATAACACATACACACTTAAACAAGTAAGAAAGCAATCAAATTATGAGTTCAATGCTACCTCTTACTCAAGTATTAAATTCGGCCTCTTCAAGGATCTTTTGCTCCTTTTTGTTTTCTCACACAATGCCTATCAATCCAAGGATAAACACATTCTATATTACCAATAATTCAAGTATAAACACTATTATTGAACAATAAACTCATTTAAATCCTTTTTTCCTTCATTTTTGACATAATTATTTCATCTTTAACCAATCTTTTAGGCCATTTCTACATAATTTTTCATGTAGAATCCAAATATCAATTTAGATTTAACAAAATCACACTCCTCCCCCTTCAACTTGGTTTGGCTGAATAGTCTGGTTTTAGGTTCCAAAATTTTCATTTTTGATTCTAATGATTTTAAACACTTTTTCTTGTTGTTTCCCTACACAAAAACAACTTTTAAACTCATTAGAATCATCAAATCACATTGAAACAATCTCTAACATCAAAAACTTGAGTTGGCTAAATAGGGTGCATAAAACCCTAACTTTAGTTTTCTTCCAAACTTCAATCCAAACACCAATTAAACATGTTATTTCAAGCTTATATTCATGATTTCTATCCTTCCCTAATGTCTTCTCATTGTGACTGAAAACGGACAGCATAAAGGCTTAGGATTTGTGATGAAATTTTAACTAAAATAACCCTTAAATCTAACCAAAATCAAGCTTAGACATACCTTAATGGATCCTTTCTTGTGGCTTGATGATTTTCCCTTGATTTAGAAGGTTTCAGCTACTGTTTAAGGTTCAGATTTCAATTGAACAGAATATCCCCTCTTTTTTCTATTTTTGGCCAAATTTTACTATTTTGGGATGTATTTATAGAGCTTATAATCTAACCTTAACTCCCTCTAAATGGCCTTATTTTTTGTCACATAAGGGGCCATGTGTCCATCTTAATCCTTGAATTGCAACTCATGCCAGGTGTCCCTTCTTCTTGATTTTTCTTATGTATTTTGGGCTTAAATTGGGCTTAAACTCTCTTGGCAAGAGGGACCATGGGGTACACGAATTTGGTAGTCTTCCTTGGCCCAATCACAGATTATTAATTTTTAACCAAAACTCACTATGTTGGTTACTATTTCCAAAAATAGTTTTGCCCCTCTAAAAATTCATTTCTCCCCAGTAAAAATTTCCTTTTTATATAGGAAAGTCCCCTAAAAATTTTCATAATTTATCTCAACCTCTAACTATTTATTTTGAATTTTCTCTAAAATCAGGCTTTACTAATAAGATTTTGGTAATGAATATTCTAAAATTAATTCCTGTACTTCTAGGGCCTAGAAATAATTTTATAAAATCAAATAAATCATTAAATTTTTTTTCATATTTTTCTCAAAATTATTGTGGTCTCCACATTTTTAAAATAATTATTTCTGCTCAATTTTTACTATCTTTCTTGAAAAACCTTTGGTTTTAGGAAATTCTGTAATAAGTTATTTTCATACTATTTCCACTTCCAGGGCCTCAAATAAGGTTCCAATGCCTCTAATTTATAATTTTTCTATTTTCTAGAATTTTTTTATAATTTTTTCATTTTGTCCTTCCTGGACTGATAATTTCAAAAATATTTGTCCAAACCCTGTCTGGATTTTATGTCATACATAGCTTTGTCAGCCAATCTATTTTCCCTATTGGCCCTTGACTTAATTTTGTGTTCCCATTATCAAGGTTAAAGTTTGCAAGATATGACAATTTAAGCCCGATTTAAGCCCAAGATACAAAAGAAGAATCAATAACAGGGGACACTTGGCACGAGCTGAAATTCAAGGGTGATAAACCTTGTCGCTAGGTAATCAAAGTTTTACTAGGGAAATGCAGCAAGTGAGGCACTACCTAGGTCATTCTTCTCAAGGAGCCTTAAGTTGTATTTCAATTCTTAACAATTCACTTTTAATTATCAAATTACCAAGATGAAAGCTTGAGTTTCAAAAAACAGAAATTGAAACGAGAAACAAATCTAATAAAAGGTAAAATGCAAAAGAAGATTCAGATAAGAGATAATAGTTTCCCTAGCAATTTATCCAACCTTCCATGTTCAATCTTATAATTTGGAGTCTCTTAATGTCAATTAAATGGATAGATTCAGCTACTGCTCAAATCTCTCTTAACACAGATCAGAAACAACTTATCTTACTAGATTTATTATCTTGATCTGTGAGAAGGAAAATCAATTGACAAGAAAATTTGAGAAGCAAGTTGCAATTCTTTAAGAATGACCACAACTGTGAATCATCAATATATTCAACCAAAATTCAGATTTACAGAACAACAGTCCAAGTAAAACGAACTAGATTTACAAATCAACAGAGAATCCTTTATTCAACTGAATTAAAGGACACAACTCACATCTGAATGTTCAACCAGATCTAAATTCCAAGAAACATAAATCTAATCATCCAACCTTCATTCTAACCACAATGGTTCAACTGAAACAAATGAACCTTAGAATAAAAAGTAGAAACTAGATCTAAATGACTCCCTGTTCAGCTCTATGAACTCAGGTCAGCTTCATTGCTAGAAGAACTTGGGAATTCAGCTACTCATACTCTGGATTAGGGTAGAAACAGCAAGAATTGATGAAAGATCCATGGTTGATCGGTGGAAATTGATGAATTTGGACGAAAATGGAAGAGAGAAATGAGAGAGGGCAGAGAGAGCAAGAAAATCGCGTCTGGAGATGAATGAAGAACTGAAATTCGGTGTCCCTGGCTGAAGCGCGCGACTCTGCTTTTAAATATGAAATTTTCCATTATCCGCCGCAGCGCCTTTGCCCATCCACCGCGGCGCTTTTCCTGTACGGCGTCGTTTCGATTAGTGATCCTGAGCTTCATAAAAACTTTCGTCCACCGTGGTGCCTTCGCCCATCCGCCGTGGCACCCCAGACAGAACTAAAACTCCCTGAAATTCACACCAAAGCAAGGATCAAAAGTACACACATATAAAATCATACAAAAACATGTAAAAACACCTGCAAAACCTCACAATTCCTCTCACCAACTCTTATGCACAATGGAAGCTAATTATACCCAAAGTATGCAAATGTAGATGGCAAAAGCATGAGTTTAAGGTTAGAAATGTATGCAAATAATGAGACTTATCAAAGGGTTAAGAACAAGGACTCATATCCCCTTAGGTGGTGTAAAATGAGGCCATTTTAGGGGGGTTATGGTCAGATTATGAGGTCTATAAATACCCCCTAACTATGTGAAATTCGACTAAAATAGAGAAAGACAGGGGAAATTGTGTCCAGCCAAAAACTAAACCTTAAATAGCACCTAAAATCTTCCAAATTAAGCAAAAATCATCAAGCTTCAAGCAAGGATCCATTAAGGTATGTCTAAGCTTGATTTTGGTTAGATTTAAGGGTATTTTTGGTTGAAATTTCATCACAAATCCTAAGCCTTTGTGTTG